TGCAATAAGGTAGCCACTAGTACAGGTGGTCACTGTGCCCTGACCCGTGGCTGGTATGACTGAAAAAAAATTTCTTTAATTTAATTGTACACATAACTGCTACATGTGGCTAGTGGCTACCCTGTGAAACAGCACAGTTCTGGAGCTTACAAAACAAGGCTGTTCACCCTGACCAATGTGGCTCATTGGTGGAGTGTCATCCCGCAAACCAAAAGGTCACGAGTTTGATTCCCAGTCAGGGCATGTGCCTAGGTTGTGGGTTCCCTCCCGGTGAGGGAGCATATGGGCAGCAACCAATCGATGTTTCTCTCTTACGTCGACATTTCTCTCCCTTTCTTTCTCCCTCCATTCCCCCAACTCAAAGAAACAAAAACAAAAACAAAAGAACAAAAAAAAAAAAAACCCACCAAGGCCTGCTTGCCATTAAACGCTTGTACGTGTGGCAGAGGTTGGCCCATACATTGTTTTCGCTAGAATACTGGGAAGTGAAGTTGTTAAAAAAGGAGACACGTGGTTCCCATCTACTACAACTGCTGACAAATCACATCAGCCCAGGAGGGTCACAGTCAGCTGAGGCCAGTTCTCAGCGTTGGTGGCCGAGCGCTGGAGGGCCTCTGGACTCTGGGGCAGACCTGGGGACGCTGAGCTACACAAGTTAGGACAGCGGTGAAAATACACCGCTCAGAGGGTTGTCAGGAAAATGAAATGACACAATATATGAAAGCACCTAGCAGACGCCTGGTAACCTTTAACTTTGCTTACACCAAAACATTATTCTCACTGCCATCCTCCTTTAATTAAGTGCATGAGCTCTGATAAGGTTTTGTCTATTTGGGAATGAACATATAAACAGAGCATAGGAAATGGTACCTGTCTTCTGCCCACCCCTCAAAATAAACACAGTAAATATTTCAGCTAATCTGGTTGGGAAAAAGGATGTCCTGGTCACAATAATTCTTATAAAACAAAACAAACTATGAGAATAAGGGACTTCCTCTTTTCTAAAGAGCATCCCTTCCAGTCTATTTACATTGGATTTTTTCCCTCAAATATTTTTATTGTGGTAAAATACACAAAACACAAAATTTACCATCTTAACCATTTTTAAATGTAAACCATTTTAAAAGTTCAGTGTTATTAAATAAATTCATATTTATGATGGTCTTTGTCTTCAAAGGTAAAACAATATATTAATTGGTAAAATGGGACCAAGCAGGCATGAGACAAACATTGTTTTCAGCATAGCGATCACACCAGCAGCAGGGAAAAAAGGGAATCTGCTCCTTTGAAGTCCTGGGGGCCTTCAGTTTTACGTTTTTATGTTAAGTTTTAAGTTTTATCTGACCTAATTTTAGACTTGCAAAGAAGGTACAAATACAGTATCCTTACATCCTTCACCCTAATGTTAACATTTTAACACAAAAATCATCAGGACAGGAAATTAACTTTGGTATAATACTATTAACTGAAATACACATATTGAAGTCTCCCCAGGTTTTACACTAATGTCCTTCATCTATTCTATAATCCTACCTAGAGTTCCGCAGCACATGTAGTTGCTATTTCTCCTTAGTCTCCTGCAGTCTGGAGCAGTTTCTCAGTATTCCCTTGCCTTTTATGACCTTGGCACTTGACAGTTATTCTGCTGAACCACAGTTGCGGTCTGTCTGATTGTGTCTCACTATTAGGCCAAGAGTATGCATTACTAGCAAGACTACCACAGAAATGATGTTGTGTCCTCAGTGCATCACATCACAGAGCCCATGATGTTTCTTTTTGTATAGTTAAAAATATTTCATAATTTCAAAAAATGAAGAACAAGTAGCTGTATTAGTCTGGGTTTTCCAGAGAAACAGAAACAATAGTACAAATATGTATATGTGTGTATATACATATAAAGACACAAAAATGTGTGTGTGTATATGAATTTTTAAAAAGAGGTATCATAAGGGACTGCTCGCACAGTTATAGAGGATGAAGAGTCCCAAGATCTGCCATCGGCCAGCCGGGGACCCAGGGGAGCTGATAGCATTGCTCTAGTCAGAGTCCGAGGACCTGGGAGCCAGAAAGGCTGATCCTGTAAGTTGCAGTCCAAGTCCAGAGGCCTAAGGACCAGGAGAGCTGAAGATGCCAGATCCAGTCTGAGTACAAAGACAAGAGAAGGCCAATGTCCCAGCTCAAAGACAGCAGACAGAGAATTCTCCCTTCCTTAGCTTTTTTGTTCTATTCAGGTCCTCAGAGGACTGGCCGATCCCCACCCACACCGGGGAGGGCCACGTGCTTTACTCAGCCCAAAGATTCCAATGTGCATCTCATCCAGAAACACCCTCCCGACACACCCAGAATAATGTTTAACCAAATACGTATCTGAGCTACCCTATACAGACCCAGTCAGATTAACACATAAAATTAACCATAACAGCAGCTTAATTTCTGAATTACAAGCTTTCCAAATCCCATCAGGCCAAATGGATTTTAGGAAATGGTCCAAATTTTAAGGTTACCACTGTTATTGGCTTGAGGCCTAAAACATTGTAAATTCACAACATACTATCATTTTAAAACCTCAAGAGGCTTTATTATGTAGCCTCAAGAGGCTCTGCTTCAAGAGAAAAGGTAATGGTGAGACAGCTTATACTATATGGATAATATGACTGTGATCCAAGAGAAGCTGGGCCAGCAAGTCAAATCGGCCTTAAAGAAATTAACACAAGGGTACTGTAAATGAAAACTAAAATCCCCTGTCTGTTATTAGAGGTGAAAGCTCGGTTGTTCTGCAGAACTGACTGCAGTCTGCAACATGACATCTTAAGGGTGCTGTGTGTCACTGCTGCTTCCAGAAAAGAAAGTCTGAGTGAATTAATATATATCAAACCATTAACAGTCATTATCCTTTTTTCTGGGGCAGAAGAGGAGTTGCAGGGACTTTTATTATTTGAGTTGCATATTTTAAATGAAGTGTGTGTATGAGTGTGTTCATGCGCGCGCGCACGTGTGTGTGTGTGTGTGTGTAAAGCCATGCCTCTTTTTGATAAAATATAAAAGGTTCCTTTGAATGCTATTTGAAACTTGAAAATGTTTCCAAAAAGCAAAAAGCAAAAGCAGGTCCCAGCAATGTTAATTTAAGAACATACTTTTTCAAAGTACACACGCACTCCATCCCTAGGAAACTGAGTGCATGCCCTATTCCCTTCCTAAAAACGACTGAAATGACCTAGAACAGTCTCCCACAGCCTCACAGTTTAGACCGGCCTGGAGGCTGCTGCAATGACACTGGCCACGATAACTGCTCATGGAAAAGGTGTATTTGGTTTAGTCTATGCAACTGAGAGCCTTCGATTCCACATTTGTCTTCAGAAACGCATATTTGGAAACACACAAGAAAAGATTTACTATCTCCACCCATGAAGTATCCACTGAGAATATCACAGCAGCAAAGGCAAAATGACCAGACTGGATCACTCAGGAGTTATGATCTGACCAGTCCCCAAATAATTTCATGATGCCATTGGAAGGAAAGGGTTAATGCCAGTGGTTAAGGAAAGGACAGCCTGGGAGGTGAGAGGGCTTGGTGAGAGCAGGTATGCACAGAGGAAGACAAGGAATGCAATTCTAGAAGGACCAAGACACTTCATGTTACTGAAGAGACAGTCAAGGTAACGGAAACAAGGAGAACAAGAAAGAGAACCAGCTAAGAGATTTGGTATAAAAAACAATGCGGATTTAATCTCAGGAATAAGGCAGAAGCTGAAAAACTCAAAGAAGAAAATGTGGTACTTAACAATGCATCTCTCCAAATTTTTCCACATCCATCTTCATTTTTTTTCCTTCTAACATCATGGAACAACATACTCTTTTTATTACAACCAACCCGTCTGCCGATGCCATGGATCCCACCCTTACTTTTCCCAAACAGATCAGCCAAGCGATATATTTTGGCCTCTCCCCAGTATTGACTCCTTACCTCTTTTCTATTTGGAGGAGGGTACGGAAACCAACCTTAGCTCCGCGTCCTCCTCTCACTTTCTCATTCAGACGCTCCTGAAGTACAGCCTCTACCCACTGTTTCTACTTCCTCTCGTCCCATTCATCCCTCAACCCAGTGCGAACTTATTGATCCCACTCTCATTAAAGCCAACCAATAATTCTCATGCTGCCTAGGCCACTGGAAGCTTCGTTTTGTTTGTTTTAACCACGTCAAGTATTTCAATATACTCTGAATTGCCTGGACGGGTGCCTGATAAATGAACATTGTCACCCAAGTGCAGGCTTACAGTGTAAAAATCCAAGTTGCTGAATGGGAGTGGGGTGGGGGAAGGGCTTCCATGGCCTCACTGACCCCTGCTTGATCTCGCCACACACCTGGCGGTTTCCCACGCCAGGCTCCCTGCTCACGCTGTCCCCTCTGCCGGAGAGGCCCTCTCCCCCAAGCCAAGCCCCTGCTTCTCACCTCACTAACGTCCACTCATAAACACATCAGAAACAACCTCCTTAGGAGGCTTTTCCTGATTCCCCCACCCCAGCCTCAACCTCGGCTTCACAAGCAGCCCCTTGTGTCCTTCCACACCATTATTTTTAAGTTCTGTTGTTGCGCTTACCTCTCGCTTACCTCTCGGTGCTACAATGGGGTGTTTATGTCCATCTCACCAAATAGGCTCTGAATTCCCTTGAAATAGGAAGCATCTTAGACATCTGCATGATAAGAGGGAAGTAATAGCCATTGCAGAAGTAACTACCTTTCTGCCCTCAAGAGGGATCCTTTTCAGCCCGGGATGGTGTGGTAATGGAATATTCTAGAAGCAAGGAGTAGCTCTTGTGGCTTTCTATCCCTTTTTTCTCTTTCCATTTTTCTAACTATAACATGGATCCTTGTGTTGTCATGGTAACCAACAGTCCCAGAACACAGACCTCTGGCTGTTGGACTTTTAAGCCACTGAGACACAGGAGCTAAAGGATTTTGAAAATCCAATCTAGGACTAAGTTGGTAGCACCTATTCCACATGGGCAGCCACCAGAGCAGAGAACAGCAGAGCCTGCACTGTGCACGTATGTGTGTGTCTCCTCCTTCCCGGCCCACCCCCACTTACTTACTGGGCCGTCACAGAAAAAGCTGGACCAAAAAATGCCATCAGATGGTGGGAGATGGGCATCTAAATGACTACAACCCTTCTGGAAGCAATTTGGTATCAATTATTAGGAGCCTTTAATATATTTGTGATCTTTGATCCATTAAATCCACACACGGGAATATAAAGAGAGACAAAAATTCATTGACAAGGGAGTTTACCGCATATTTATTTATTAAAAATAATAACCACCACCTAATAGTCATTAAAAAGAAAGTGGTTGAAAATGACAGAATTCCCAAATGTATGTTTATTGCAGGTTATGCCATAAAATAATCTCAGTTTCAATGAATGTGACATTCATATCCACATATGTATGTGACTAGGAGTATGTATATGTATAAATATGTGTATATATTGAAAGATAAATTTATAAGAAAATCCACCAAAATGTTTTTATGAGGTTATCATTATCTCTGAACAATGGGATCATAGGCATATTTATTTTTCATCTTTATATTTTTTATATTTTTCAAATTTTATACAATGATCATTCTTCTTTTGTAAGTTCTTTCAGCCATACTAAAACAGCTGGTGTGAGGCATCAGGTGAAGATGCTTAGGAGAAGGAACTGTTATACAAAGAGAGAGATTTTTAAAGGAGGAGGGCCGCCTTTTCCCTTTCTTTGGGGATTGCAAAACAGGATTAACTTCCATCAGAGTGGGATAGTTCCAAATAGAAAAAGGAATGAATAATGTCACTGCTTACATACACAGCCACCCCTCTTCGTCTTACCAATCTCAGGTACTTTTTCTTTCTTTTGAAGATTCCTGGGATGAGGGAGACCTAAAATCCGAGCCTCTGCATGCCCTGTTGGACTCGCTGTCCAGGGGCAGCGGCGCTGACACAGAGGACCACAGATCCGAATCAAACCTGAGCCTCTCTGTGGGCTACTACCCTGGTGAGGACACCTATTCCTACGAGAACACAATCTCCTGCAAAGACAGATCTGCCGAGGGTCCCTTGGTCTATTCTGTCCCTCCTTTCCAAGGGTCATGGCAGACTGAAAGTGTAGGGAGACTCCTGGAGCGACAAGACCAAATTCAGGACGACCCAGAGCAGTTTTGCAAACTAAGAATCACCATGGCCTGGGATATTGATATGAGCTCTAACCATTCAGACTCCAACATCGGCTGGGATCTACATGGAGACAACCCGTGGACAAACAAGTGCCCTGAAGGGAAGACACAGCTGACACTCGGCAAACTGAATGGTCTTATGCAAAAGCTTGAGCAATTTCTAGAAAATCAGAAAGATGACACAGAAGATGAGTCTGTGTTCCCTGAATCTGCTCAAAAGGAAGATGTCCAGCTGTCCGGCTGCACCTCTCTAGCCACGGCTCAGGTCGGTCATCATGAACATGACACTTGTCAAGACTTGCCCACATTCGGCCCACCAGAAAATGAGGATGTCATCCAGTTTCCACGGGATCCTCCAAAGATTCGGGAACATGAACTTGCAGAGGTGAGCCCAGAGATGCCTCACAGGCAAGCAGGGGACCAGTGTGGTGGAAGGGCCAGGGCGGGATGCAGGCAGCATTGCTACCTGCTGTGAAGCAGGGTGGCCCTCTAGGTGTCTGACATGGCCAGGAACAAGAGAAGGACAACAGCAAGGAAAGGGAAAGGGGTCAGGGTGGAGTTGAAGGGAAAACACTAAGAACCACTGAGGGAGAGAAAAGGACAGGAAAACAAAGGAAAGGCTAACAATCATGACCAATCTGTAACAAGAAAGTGTGTGTGTGTTCAAGTACAGTATTAATGAGTATGGAAACTGTGCATTTACAGCCTGGTTATTTTTGGTAAAAGGATTTGAGCCGCATAAATGGGTAAGTATGGACCCCACATTGCCGAGGTTACACGTAACTTACACATCACTCATTTACTTGGCAGACAATAAGCCAAGCATGTGGCAGCCAAAGAACAAGCACTGCAGAGACCTCCTCAAGCTCATCGGACCACCAGGAGGAGGAGGAGGACGCTCACTCCAGTACACAGGCCTTCTCCTGTCTCAACTTCAGATGGGTCTTCCTCTGGCTAAGGCAGCAAGTCCTCGCATTTTGGGGACAACAGCATCCTCAGAAAGCCACCAAGTACCCCCGTCAGCTAACGCTGAAGAAAAGACTCTTTCACAGAAGCAAGAGAATCCAACCTCAAGAATCCATTGAATTAGAACACCCTGTGTCGCCAGATTTTAAAACTTATTGATTGCCCCTGTTCTTCAATCCCCGTCAGGTTTTTTTTTTCCAATACACAAAACACATATTCTTGTTACCCAAGTCTTCCTCTTCCAGCTCACCACCTTCCTCTTCCAGCTCACGGAAGGTATATATGTTATCTAGACGATGGAAATGTATTCTCTTGGAATTTTAAGGAGTAGTATCCTTCCTAACATGAAGGTGTTCTTTTTCTCTCCTCTCTCCCTTTCTTATTGTATTTAATTCTACTTTACCATTAACCTAAACCCCTGTTTTCAGAAGGCAATAGTACAACCCATCAGATTCCCAGCTTGGCAGTATGGTTTGGGTTGACCTTCTGGGGCTTGAGCAAGTGGCAGCAGGGACTGAGCCATCAGGGAGGCCTTCAACTGGCAGTGCGTCAGGTGTTTAGACAATGGTCCTGATGCTCCTAGGGGACCTGGCTGGTTCCAGCATGCGCTGCCTTGGCTATAAAATAAGTGGCCCACTTGGAAGCAATGTGAGGCCTGGGAATGCTACTTACCCATTCTAAGCAGCCTCTCCTCATTCATGAAATGGGAAAGACAACGATACGTGCCTCATTGGGTTATTGGGAGACTAAATGAGATCATATAAGCACTTCATAAATAGTACTGTTGTTGTTGTTATCTGTTCTCTCCCGAGCAGGAATAGAGTTGGGGGGGAGGGGGAGGGGGAGGAAGAAGAAAAAATGGCAATCTGTTTAAGGCCAAGTGAGGTGGTGACTACAGACAGTGAAACCTGGGACGAGAGGAATTTAGCAACTAAGCTGAAAATTTAATTCAACAAGTATACATGGAGTCTTCTTGCTGCTTTAGACTAGTCACTATGATATGCCTAAAAGAAAGATGGCATCTACCATCACAGCACATGTAACCACAGTTTTGCTGTTATTTTAATTCCTTCTCTAGTAATTAAGTCAAGCTCTAAGAAAAACTCAACTAAAATGAACTGCTTTGAAGGACTGCCCACACTAAATAAGTAAACCCTGTACATTTTTCAGTGTTGTTTAAACCTGCTTGACAAGTATGAACTTACCCTCTGTGATTCAAGCAATGTATTTTACAAGCCCTTACAATAAATATTCTTTGCAAAGAACTGGAATGCTAAATATTCTTTGGCGTTGTCATCCTACAGCTTAGAATGTGAGTCAAAGTGTTTAAAAACAAGAAATATTTCAGCACTTTCTCATTATGGTGTCAAAAACACTATGAAGCCATTGGCTGCATGCGGACTGTGTCTGGGATCTCTGCTTTGTGTCACATATCTGGGGCTGGGGCCGGAGGAGGCCCACTACACATCAAGTGCACTGGAGGCAGTCACAGAAAGACACTGGCTTTTCTGTAACCTCAAGCCTCTTGCAGAATTACTGTACTTGCCAGGCACATGCTAATCTAATAAACCAGTAAGTTTTGGGGATCCATTGTCTCAAGACTTAAAACTAAAATAATTCCTTCAAGTGAACTGCTCAACCTTGCACCCCATAAAGCTCAGCTGCTTGAATTAGTGAGGTACTGCCTATCTAGAGCCTATAACAATGCCATAAGATAAGACAGAAACATAGTGTGAGCACTTCTCAAGGAAATGTAGGGAGTATTCAGCTCTCACCAAACAGAATTGGAAAAAGTAAGTTTTATAAATCACCCCCTACTAAACCTTACTCAGCAGGATCCCATTGTGGGCTGGGGCAGGGCGGGGGGGGGGGGGGGCGGGCAGTGGTGGCGGAGGGAAGATGTGAGATCATGCCATACCAGCAAAACAGAGACAAATCATTTTTTCCAGACTTAAAGGGCACAATGTGAAAATTCATGGCTAAGAGGATGCACAGTCCTAGGTCTGCAAAATAGTGTCCCAAGTCCTCTTATAAAATACTGAAAAGAAAAATGAAACAAATTATAAATGAATTCACAGAGAGTGCCTGGGAAGGTCTTTACCCCAATATTTAAAGAATAGTTTTGTTTAAGTAGGATAGATAGTTAAGTGCTTCAAAAATAAACATCTTTTCATTATGAATTGCAAGTGGGAGAACTTATATTGCATGCAGGGTGCTCTCTAATTTCAATATGGATGGGTAGGTTTTATATTGCATTGCCTAAAGTCAATCTTGTCCTGCTACCCCCTAAGACCCCAACAGAGAACAACACTGCTTTCAAAAGTGAAATAAGATCCTCATCAGATAACACTGAGTCACTGAGTGAGCCAGTCAGGAGCACGGTGGGTATAAAAGCCTTAGGATAAATTTCCAAAAGGATTATAAGCCTAGATCAAGAAATCTCCCTACTACACAATTTCTGTTTACCCTCCTACCTTTCAAAAGAATTCCATGGTTTTGATGCCCATTTGATTTCAATCAAATAAGCCTCCTGAAGAACTACTTCTGGGATATTTTCAAACAAGAAGGCAAACACCAAATATCTGTTTACAGTGTGACTGCTGAATGAAAATTCATCTCATTATTATTGAATTGTCTTAGTGTAGAAGGAAATAAGAATGGCCATTAGTTTTTCCTCATCTGCATCAATAAAGATTATTTTAAGTGCAAAATCCCCAAAACTAAGCGTTCATGCGCACACACGTGCTCTCCTCTCTCTCTCCCTTTTCCCTCACTCACGCAACTTTCCTGAAAACACACTAAAAAAGTAAAAGACACTTTGCACGTTTTAAATATTAACATATGTTTTGACAATTGGCTTCAAGTTTTGTTCTCATCAATTCTTCTGCTACCTGTCTTAGGGGCTTAATTTTTTTTTCCTAAATGGGGATGGGGATGAAAAGGAGAATTTTTGCCCAGTAACATGACTTCAGAAATTCAGCAATCATCCTATTGCAAACCACGAACATAACCTGACTCACATAAGGATCAAGACTGAATGCTAAAACTACTGGATGAATGACTGACAGGTAGGGAACAAAACATGCATATGGTCTCCAAGAATTATCCCACATATTATTTGTTATCGGGGAGATTAGGGACCTTTACAATGAAGATGTCCAGTGAACACCAACTTAACCAAGTGATTAAAATGAGCCTACCTAACATCATCTCAGGAACCTTCTGAAGAGAAGCAGTGTATTCTCGCTACCTAGGTTTAACCTGAATCTGATCCCTAGGAAACCAAGTCTGAAGAACCCAGACTGAAAGGCATGCTTCCAGACAACTGTCTTAGACTTTTAAAAACATGTTAATGTCACGAAATACCAAATAAGAAAAAACAAGGCAGGAAGATGAGACCATTCATAAAGGAGAACTAAAGAGACATGACAACCAATGGCTATTTATAATCTTTGATTGAATTCTTGATCAATCTACAAAACTATGATAAAAGATATTTTTTAACAATTGGAAAGATCTAAATACGGACTGTATATAAGATACTTTCAAATGGTCCAGGAAAAAAACATAAAATAGAAAATAAGAAAAATGAGAAAACTACTAAGAAAAAATCCATTAAGTAGGAAATCCAGCTCTCCACTATTAAAATAGAGTACTATATTTGCCATACTTGTGATAGAAATATCTTTAAAATTTACATATTTAAAGCATGAAAATTTTTACCCTAAATAAAACCTAGGTATTAATTTGATTTCTCAAGCGATATAAGCCAAGCAGCACCTTAATCTCCATTCATTCGTTTATCCTGGCACCTGTCTTGGGATTCACCACTGGCTGCAAGGAATTTTCAGTCTCATAGGTTAATACATATTCGCCCCATAAGTCCCTCTCACTGTAAAAAGACAACTTGGTCCAGTTGAAAGCAGATTAGCATCTGGGCATTTTTCAAAAACATTTTAGATTTCAGGAATTTATTTAGCTTTTGCTGAAATTTAAAAGAATAATTTTTGCCCAGTGGAAAGCTAGGCTGTCTGCCCACAAATAATCACAAGTTTCAAGGCCTGGATCTCATGTTTACCTTCAAAAGAACTTTTGGACATTTCTTCTGTTTCTCACAATCAGGAAGAGTTTGCTACTTATAATAGCAATTCCCGCAAGTTGTTGTGACATTTCCTTTTATTTTGAGCAGGGCCAGATTGCTCTGCTTCTTCCAGCCTAAGAAGCAGCATAAGTGTAAAGTCATTACACAGTGCATTGAACACTCTGGAGGAAAAGAAGGTGAAAAGAAGGTCTTTATTATCCTTTTTTGGTGCATACCTCTTATATGATTAAAAATACAGACTTAGATTTTTTTTTCTTAAAACACATTCATATACACCAAACACTTTGCAAACAGTACGGGAAGGTCAGAGTGTCCATGAATCCTCTCATCAAGCCAAGGCTCAACACCCAAGTTCTTATACAAGACTTCCTGGCTTCAAACCCCAGGTCCCCACTGATTTGCAGCGGATGCTTGAAAAGTTACTTAACCTCTCTGGGCTTTCCATTTTATCTATAAAATGTTATACTGATAGTACTAACCTCAAAGTAATGAGGATTTAGTAAAAGTGCTTGACACATAGTAAGTGCTTACAAATTTTTGCTGCAGCTAGTTGCTGTCATGTACTTTCTTTGTTTTAAAAATCTGCCATGACTCTTAATGACTACAGAATTAAGCGCAAGGAAACTACCATTAAATCTCTCTATAACGGGAACCTGATATATTTTTCCAGTCGTATTTAACAACACTCCCCCCTCGACCCTCACACTCCTTGCAGTACTTGTCTCGTGCTACTGCTCCCTGCACGTTCCTGCCTCAGTGCCTTTGCTTATACAGTCCCCTCTCCTTGGAACTACCGTAACCATGTTACTCCTTCGCTTTTGCCCTGCTACCTACCTACCCCCAAATGACCCTTCAATGCCCAGGTTAAATTCAAGCTCTCCTACAGAAATGAACAGGCTGGAGATAACCTCACCTCCCTTTATGCTACCATAGCACTACCTGTAGTAAGTGCGCATTTTATCCTGTTTTAAAGAAATGTGCTTCCATATCTTTCTCTCCCACCAGACAAAAGCCCCTGTGTTCTGCTTATCTTTTCATGCTCCAAAGCCCTTGGCCCAGTTTCTTGTACATAGAAG